GCCAGGAGCTCGGGCCACATCCTCGTCCCCTTCGCAAGGGGAATCCCTCGCGGGTGGTCAGAGGCAGCAGCAATGACGCGCCGCCGTGTGGAGCCCATCCGCGTGCTGCTTGAAAAAAGCGCTCAGGCCTTCGGACAGGCACGAAGGAGTAGCACGCCGACGGGCTCCAGACGGTGGCGTGTGGCGTGTTGGTAGGGCGGGCCGGGCGTTTCGCCTGAGACTTCCCTGGCACAGATGGTCCTTGAGATTATAGTCTCAACAGTTTGACGGATGGAGGGCGGGCCAGTTTCAAAATGTGGTTCTCGCCTCAGCGGCGCGCACGTTCGTATTCAAAGTTTGCAAGCGATTCACGGATGCAGGGCAGGTGGTTTTCAAAATGTGCCTATCGCACTAGCGCAGCGCACAGTCGTCCTTACCGTTTGCCAGAGTTTCACGGGTGACGGGCGGTTCATGTTCAAAATTTATTTCTCGCCTTGGCGAAGCCACATTCAGTTCCCAGAAGTGGTGCGCTGGCAAGCTGAAGGGTAACTTCTTCACGGCGCGGGATGGTCTGGGAACCACCGCGGCAGCGCCCTGCGGACAGGGCACGTGGAGAAGGAGGAGGAGGAGGAGGAGGAGGAGGAGGAGAAGGAAGAGGAGGCCGAGGAGTAGTAGGAGAAGGAGGAGGAGGAGAAGGGGGAGAAGGAGAAGGGGGAGGAGGAGGAGAAAGGGGAAAGAGAGAGAGGAGGCGAAGGATGAAGAGGAGGACGGGGAGGCGGAGGAGAAGGAAGAGGAGGAGGAGGAGGCGGAGGAGGAGGGGGATGATGGGGAGGACCGTAGCCATTCTGGCTCAAGTCCGTAGCGGTTCGGCTCAGACTTGGCCTCTTGGCGTGGGGGAGGCGCGCCCCCGCCAGCGAACCCACGGCCATTGCAGGCCCAGGGTATTTCTCAGTGAGCTCCTGTTGGAGCAATCCGCATAATCGTAAATCCAAGCAGATGCCTCCCAATGGGAAAGGCAAGGGCAAATCGGGATGGGTTTGGCATGGTCCGCAGACTACTGTTACTTGCGGTACTTGTGGTTGTGCCAAGAATCCAGCTCATTTCAAGTGGTGCTACCACTGCAAGGCCTGGCTCCCCAAGATCGGCAACGGGACACCCCCTCCTCTCGGCGGCAGCTGGGCGAAGGGCGACACCAAGGGGGCCAAGGACAAAGGTGGCGGCAAAGGAAAAGGTATTCAGTTCCTTAACCAGTTGGTCCAGGGAGCCGACACCAAGTTTAAGGACGTTCTCCCAGAGAATGCAAAAGAAGTTCTCTCAAGCGTGCTGGACGACGCCAGGGTCATCCGCGACTCCCAGGTCCCCGCCAGCAAGGCCCTCCAGACCTCTGAATCAGAGATTAAGAAGCGTGAAGCCAAGATCCACAAGTACGAGCAGCGCCAGGACCAGATTGTGGAGCAGATCGAGGCCCTCGAACTCGAAGGCAAGGAGCTTCAAGATTCTATTGATAAAGAGGTGGAGGCTATCAATCTTGCTCGACAGCAAGCAGCATCTAAACTTCAATCACATCAAGGACTACCATCGCCGGATTCTCTTGGAGTCAATCTGCAAGCGTGGACAGGCGTCATCGGCCAGCTGGATAATGACTTGCGCCAGCACCTCGGGCAGCTCTACCAGTCTGCGCTGGTCGGCATCAGCCCCGGCTCCGCCGACGTCTACACGGCGGCCACCAACATGGCTTCCACCTTGCTGGCTCCCTCGGACAATGCCGAGGAGCGGAGGGCACAGCCAAAAGGAGACGAGGAAGGAGGAGGAGGAGGAGAGAGGATGTCGCGTTGGCTGCAGCGTGAAAGCGGCAGACCTTTCCCCGACACCTCCCCTGTCCTGTCCCCAGAGTACGAGCCTTCTGAAGATGATGATATGGATGAAGATCCAGGAGGATTGGAAGCAGCTGACCAGGGCCTTCACGGGGCCTTGGCGGAAGAAGGGCTCCTGGATGGGCTCCAAGGGTCCAGGGTCTCTCGGGTCATTGCGAGGCACCTCAAGAAGAAGACCCAGCCCCGCAGGCCACCGACGGGCCCTTCGGCTGAGAGGGGTGAGCTGGATGCGCCACTGCCGCGCGTTTAGCAGGGCTCGCCTCCGAGTCACAACCTTTAACGGTTCATGTTGGTCGACCTGCAAGGAACTCCTACAGGACTCAAAGTGTGAAGTTGCTCTTCTCCAGGAACACAAGCTTCTGGCTGATGGTCTCAGTTCAATTCAGTCTACTACTTTGCGAATGGGATGGAATTCGTACGCTTCTCCAGCTGTTGTCAATTCTAACGGTTCTGCCACAGGTGGAACAATGGTGTGCATCAGGAAACATTTGGACTCTTGGGGCTTCGACACGAGCAACATTTTCCTGGGCGTTTATCTGGGTGCTTTCTACGAGCTGCAAAGCTCGGGGTCGTCCAGGTCTTCTCGGTTTACCTTCAGGACCAGGTGCACGTGAATGAACAACATCGTCGGGTCCTCAATAAGGTTT